TAATTCCACCTCAAAAATCTCTACTCCGGAGACCAATACAAAAAGCTAAAAATACGAAGCATGAGTAATTGCCATGGATCCAGATTATGAACGTTGCGATGGATGCCTAAGGTTAGGACCAATGGCCAAGCTTCGATTATGCTAGGAGTCGTAAACTATGGCCCGCTTCTTAACAATGATTCATACGGAGCAACTTACCGACGGAATCGGAGTGCCTAAAAAGGCTAAAGCCTTTCTCTTGAGTCTAGCTTCTCCTACTTTTAGAGCCTCCCGAAGGGTTTAGTACTAGGCAACTTTGGGCAACGCTATACGAACAAGCCAATCATCCAAAATTCGTTTAGACAATCTTACGGCGGGGTTCGGGGTGTTTCTGTGCCTGGGAGTCAGGTTACTAGTCGACTTCGTACCGGTGTTGATGGAACCCCCAATCTTAGTGAGATTATGCTTGTCGGGAATTCGGGGTCTCCAATTCCCGATATTAGAAATTAATTAACTCTGAATTCTTCCATGTCATTGGTTCGTCTTTTGAGGTCGACTACCTTCCTACTAGTACTAGTAGTATGGAGTACAGTATGCTGAATGGGGACTCCGACTATCGAGATGTACTCCGTACCTACTCCGTACAAATTTTTCTTTTTCGGAGCGATCGTCGATCTGAGTCAATCTGTCCGCCGGGCCCATGTAAAGTTGAAATAACGCCTGCTAAGGTTAGATGTTTTGACTCTATGAAATTGCAGCTGGCTGTTCTGCACTGTAGTATATCACTTTGCTTTGAGTAATTGGATACTAATTAATTTAAAGAAAGGTACTGCAACTCTTTTGCCCTACTTCTCGAACTAAAGAAAGAATGGACAAAAGTGGAAAGGCTCCAGCATGGTAAACTGTATGTATCTAATCAATCATCAATCGCTCATCCTCGTACATACACCACCAAACTAAAGAACAGAAGAAAGATTAAACCTCAGCCAATCTCCCTCAGAGGGAGAAGAAAAATGAAGAGGGCAGGTTACGATATCGTACGTACAATCTAATAGGCTAAAAATAATTATGCCTCGTCTTGTAATTCCTACACCCCTTATAGGTGGTAGATCTGAGAAGATTGAGCATCAGGGACTTGGTATAGTTGATTTGATTATCCGTTATGTCATCCCACTCAAGCATACCCTGTATGTTGCGCAGCAATCCAGATAAGTTCCAAGTTATGAATCGGTCATCTGGTGATTATTGAAATATACCCTATTATAGACCAGACCAAAGCGCTGAACAACTGTCATGTCCATACCTCAGAGGTTCACCAGTTGGTCCAAGTTCTAAGGCACTCTGGAGCACACTTGCCTCAGGCATAAATCACATGACCTTCCCGAAGCGAAACGCTAAGCCCTGCCCGCACAAAAAAACCACTACTACCAGAGGCGCTTGAAGACGGTCGACAACCTCATTCTCGCCAGTCCATACACTCAGCTCGCCGTCGCGACAAGCCTTCAAGATGCCGGTTAGCACCCCCTGAGCCAAACTGAGAGTCTCTACTCCGATGATACTTTTCCACATCATTTGGCCAATATGGATGAGAGGCTTCTGTGACTGTTGCTAACGCTCAATTTTTTCGATTAGAGCCACAAGAGTTTCCGCACCAAGCAGAAGCTTGCCAAAGCTCAGAGACAGAACCGTCCTATCCCCCAGTGGATTCGTCTCAGGACCGGTAACACCATCAGGTAATTACACCTATTCCTTTCAGGACCCTCGATCGGCTGGAACAGAATGGCAACTGGCTTTGAAATGTGTCTGGAGGTGACATGCTCACGCTGCTTCATCGGAACCCCGTCGCTTTCTTTGTCATTTGGGAGGGGGGAAGGATGATATTTGGGTTTTGAGTTCGACACGTCGGAAGGACATTTAATGCTGACAACGCGATTCCCAGATACAACGCCAAGCGGAGGCACTGGCGCAAGACCCGTCTCGGTCTGTAAATTAGGAACCTCTCCTTCGACCGAGATGTCTATCCCCGATTGTTTCGTTCATCTGTGATACCGAAAACGTTGCTCGCGATGATAAATCTGCGTCCTGGATCCGGCCCGCTTCAACATTTTCTTTTCGCCAAACTTTGATCTCTGTTCGGAATTCCGGCAAACATATCTCATCTTGACAACTCTTGAGACTTTCAGGATGGCATACGGACAATGATCGAATCGGAAGCGGTGACGGGTTCTGTGACAACGTACTTTGCAAATTATGTACACGAGCTGAGACAAAATAAAAAATTATGATGGATAATGAGCAGTGAACGAAGAATTTTCAGGGACATCTCACAAATCACTCCTTAAAACATGAAGACAAACGAAGGGAACATGTCCGCGAACCGCAGGTACTACGCTACCTTTCCACCTCTATCTTGATACGTTCGCAAAAGTATGTCTTACTACTTGTGGGCTGGACGGTGCAGTCAGTTTCGAGAGCGGCAGGGTTGAGTGAACGTTTCAAGACACTAGAAGCCGCTGCAACGTATTTCATGCCAATCGTAGTGTAATCGGATGTATTTTGTCTCGTTGCTTTACGCCCTGCAGTGGCCCATACCTCTTGGGTTGTCAAGTTTGCCCTTCTATTGCGTCATGAACTCTTGTTATGTAGGTCTCTAGTTTATGCAAATCGAGGTAATTACTTGGTGTTACATAGTCAACTTATCGAAAGCCCCGATCACATACCCGTAGGCCGTGAATAATGATATTCTTTTCGATACAACAGCTTCCTCACCAACTCACATTCAGCGGGTAGTCCGGGTGTCAAACTGCCTACGTCTAACCCCAGCCTTCAAGAGAACAAAACCAGCTAATTGAAAAGAAAAGCGATGGTGATATAAAATTCCTAACGCCATAGAGTAGAAGCAAAGACCAATGAACCAGATGAAATTCAAGCTGAAAGATTAAGGAGAGCTGCTAGCCTCCTGGAACAGATCATGAAACTTGGGGTAGGATTCCAAGAGTAACGCAAGGCTAACATCGGCCAGTGGCGTACTTAGCGACTATAGCAGAGAGCAGTTAGCATTCAGGAGATATTGCAAAGGAAGGCAGGTTATGTATCGGTAAAACCTGGGAATCTTTAGGCACTTACTCTTCAGCCCATTCATTCTCGCGACGAATCTGGTCTTCCTCCTCGGGTGTGAAATCGTTCTGGATATTGAAAGTCTTTCGAATCTCCTCAGGAGACTTGCCCTTGATCATATTCGCAACGGTCTTGCAGCCGACATCGAGCAGTCCCTTGATGTCAAGGTAGTTGGCGGCCTAATTCGTTGGAATTTAGTTTCCGAACCTGTGTCAAGACATCTAAACTAGGATAACACGTACCAGAATAATTTCGAAGAGCATTTCCTGGTCAACTTGCATGAACTTCTGATCCCACTCGTCAATATCCGTAGTCTTACGGCGGGAGTCATCGTCATCGCCGGTGCTGGGAGGGTCGTTCTTATGATGGGTGCACCATTCAATGACCTTCTTCAAAACGGCTTCGTTGACCTACAGCCAACAAGTCAGGTCCCATCACATAAAAATCACTGAAAGTTTAAGTCTGGTAGCCCGGCCGAGATGACTCACGTTGGGAATGGGGATGGGCTCTCCAGTTTCACCCAAGTCTTCAAGCATGTTCTTGATGAGCAGCGAGCGTTCGGCGACATCACGGTCTAAACGACAGGATAACAGGTCAGTATCGAGCCTACTATTTCGAAGTTGAAGCGAGAAGCCATATATCTCGTCTCAGTAAAGGGCTATTTATCGTGATGAATGCACCTACCGACAGTGATGTCAACGCCGTCGGCGCTTGTGAAGATAAGAGTGGGAGTGGACATTTTTGCGATATTCTAAGTCCTATACCGACTGTTAAAACCTGAATCAATTGTCGCCTTCGCGAGACAAATCAGCTTGTTTTCATCGAGGGTTAGGATTCAAACCAAGCTCAATATTTTATGAGGGGTACAGAGGTGGGGAGATGATGACTTACGGATACTGGGAGCTGTGAGAGAGTTCTGAAGAGAAAAGAAGTGGTTTGTGGAAAGATGGGGGTGCAAACCTTGATATAAATGTCTCGGGACAATGGGGCAGGAAGAGAATACAAGGAAAGCAAGCTCGAAGGGAGAAAGGTTGCGGTGCAGAAAGAGAAGGTAGGAAGGAATAACAATCAATGGCGGAGAGTAGTATTGAGGCTTAGTTATACAGGTAACAAATTAGCGCTTAGTGGGTAGTACTGGAGATGAAAACGCAGGTCGTAAATACTGTACCTACTTATTTTTCGTAATGAAAGTCCGCCGCCGCAGAGTGGCGCCTAGATTGCCGCCTTGTTGTTGCCTGAGTGGAGTTATGCTGGTTAGTACACATATACACCGATGTACTAAGTACAGAGTAACTTGCCTCCAATGGAAAATAGAAGTTTCCAGGTGCATCCTTTACATATTATGAGGAGAATTCCCAGTTCCGAACGCCGGTGTACTCTGGATTTGATGGCAGTTGCTGCTAGGTAATTCCAAACCATTACTTTACACCAACTAGTATATAAGGATACTGTCCATACCTGTATTTGATACATAACTGGTAATTTTGAATGAATCATCAATTTGTTGTGAGCTTTTCCCAGGTATACCCAGCATTACATTACATACACACATATACTCCCAAATGAAAGGTGATGTTCTTTCTTATTTGTTTATCAATATGACATCCTTTAAAAAAACAAATGTTTCTCCTCAGTCTCTTCCCTCCGCATCTAGAGTTAGGACATCAAGAGGTGTATCATAGAGATCAAAACCTCCACTGTATCTCAACCTCGACCCACTATCATTCGATTCATCGCCAGCTAATTTAACCACCGTCCACTACTACATGTACTAGTTACTTCTCCCATAGTTCCTATTAACGGCGGGCAGTGCTCACCCCAACATGTCCCTCTCACTCAGTAAGAGGAAATAGGGTCCTGCACATCAGCAACTTAACCGGACCCGAACGAACCCTCCTAAGAGCCCTGAACAAGCTTCCACTCCTTGATTCTCTCCGATAACCTTGCCTATATGCTTGTCTATGTCGTTCCTTATTCTCTGAATTCTTCTCGTGTGGGACAAAAGCAACAGCATGTGCTTTATCTATAGAATTTTTTGGTTTCCCTACTTTTAACTTTCTGTGTACTTGTGTGTGTCTTATTCTCTTCATTATTATTGTTATTGTCACACTTGACCATCGGAGCCATGTGGAGACGAACATATTTGCTTCTACTGGGGATCCGTGTTTACTTTGCCCTTTCCCCAAGCTACCTTCACCCAGATGAGAACTTTCAGGGACCTGAAGTTTTTGCAGGTAAGCGTGCTATGCTTTCTTCCACGAGCCATCCGTTGATGCCACTATGTTTTTATCGCGGCAGCTTCTTTCTGCCGGCAGGTCCCGCGCCTCGTTGCTCAGGATGGCCTCTGACGATCAAAACATACCTCCACATTGAACCATCTTTCATAGGATTCAACTAAGCTCCTCAGGTCGCGTCCTCTCCTACCCATCCAAATTACCATGGGAATTTACCGCCGATAAGCCGATCCGCAGCGTCTTTCCGCTATGGCCAACCTACGACGTGCCAATAAGCCTTCTTAAATGGTTCTATGCCGAAACAGGGGCCCCTACACCCCCTCCTCCACAGTTTATCTACTATGTACTGCGAGGGATCATGTTTCTCTTGAGCTTTGTGCTGGAGGACTGGGCTGTATATGAGTTAGTTCCTTTTGCGCGACACCGTCGGGCGACTGTGGTGCTGGTCGCATCCTCGTACGTCACCTGGACATATCAGACGCACACCTTCTCCAACTCCCTTGAGACGTTGTTGGTTGCTTGGGGCCTGGTCTTGATTCGCCGCATTGTCGAGAATAAGGTCTGTTCATCACACCCAAGTCAAGGAAGGCAACACCGATCGGCTAATATTCGTCTGCAGCGCCGCGCATCCGTCTTCTCCTGTGCTGTCCTGGCCTTTATTGCTGTCGCTGGCGTTTTTAATCGAATCACTTTTCCGGCTTTTCTCGCCATCCCAGGACTTCAATTATTACCTCATTTTCGGCGCAAGTCAGTATTCCCCTGAGGGTAGTTCTTACTTCTATACTAAACTATTCTCGAACATCCAGGCCGGTCTCATTCTTATCCTTCGTGGGGTTCGGTATATTCTTCTTTGGAATCGCTGTTCTTGTTGATACCGCCTTCTATAGGCCTTCTGCATCTTTGTGGGATGTCCTCCACTCACCGATAATTACACCCATCAACAATTTGCTTTATAACTCCGATAGTCTGAACTTAGCGCTTCATGGACTCCACCCTCGTTATCAACACTTTTTAGTCAACTTGCCGCAGCTCCTTGGGCCTGCATATGTTATGATGGCTGTATCATTGTGGAACTTGCCAGCTATCCCAGCCTGGATGAAGAACGCGCGTGCTGTCTCCGCCTTATCAGCAACTGCCATATTGTCGATTTTCCCCCACCAAGAGCCGCGCTTCTTAATACCATGCGTCCCTCTTCTCCTCAGTTGCTTCCGTGTGAGTAAGTCGCGTTTGTTCCTGGCCACCTGGATGATATTTAATGTTGCTCTGGGATTCTTAATGGGCATCTATCACCAAGGGGGGGTTGTACCTGCTCAGCTTGCAATGCCCTCTATCATCTCGGCTAGCAGTGTTGAATCAAGCGATGAATTCTCAGGAGAGAGCTCTGGTGTCTCTGCGACAGTCATTTGGTGGAAAACGTATTCTCCCCCATTATGGTTACTTGGAACTAACAACAATTCGTTCCTGAACATCGAAACTCGAGACTTAATGGGCGTTCCCGGACCCGATTTGGTTGAGGAGCTGGAAAAACTGCTCCCGTCCTGCAGCAATGAAGAGTCGAAGCAGGTTGACTCGGTATTCGTGGTTGCGCCCAAGTCTGCTGCTTTTCTTGACCAATATACCCCTTCGCCGAGTTCGTCGTCGGTTAGCTCAGCTTTAGAGCTACACGAACTGTGGTCTTACAAGAAACACATCAACCTGGATGATCTAGACTTCGGCACTGACGGTGTCTATTCGACATTGGCGCGAGTGATTGGTAGGCGCGGACTGGCCGTGTGGAGAGCTAAAAGGGCAGATTGTAATTGAAGATTGATCATCTAATGGCATTAACATATCAAACACATGATGATGTAAAGTTCACAAATGGCAAACTTCCAACCACTAATCCTCTGTCCTCTTCTCATCCTCTTGTTTGTGAGGTTCTGGGTTAAGTGGCCTCGGTGATCAGCATCTAACTCTTCCTAGTCTCTTCTGCGAAATATTCAACTGCCTCTGATTTTCCTATATGCCCCCCCAGTGCAGGTAATGGCATGTGTATCGTGTCATATTTAGGTCAAGTTACACTCGTTATTAGCAAATACTGCACGCACACTCTGGTCTTTGTGAAGAGAGCAAAGTGTCACTGCAAAACTGCTGAGCGGCATTTGCTGATCCGGTGACCTACGTCACCGACACTCCCTCAAACGCGGCGTGGGGTCATGGGACGGTACAGTGCTGTAGATCCTACTAGGTAGGTGTAGGTGTTTGAGTAGCAAGGAGTTGGTCACCCCCATGTTTAATGTACCAATCAACGAGCAAAACGGAGATTCATATTGATCTTAGCTATCTGGAGGCATATATTTCAATATTACAAAACCGGGTTCAATTTACCAGCACATTCATCTCACGCGATAACCTTTCTAAGAACCACAGGGAAGGAAAAGGATTCAAAAGTATCTCATTTTTGTTCCATTAACTAGGCACACGACCAAATGTCACTTCTGAGTAGGAGGGTAAATAAAAGGAAAACAGATAAAGACTACTACCGTATGTTGGAACACCGCTACAAATGTCATCCATGGGATAGTGAGAAGGATGAGAAGACGTAACTGAGGAAAGTAGTGACAGCTAGTGAATCCGCGTGCTGAGCACGCCAAGCTGTACCAGTCTTGATAAAACCCGGCTTCGGTAGGGAACTCGGCAAAGAGATGCATTGCAGTTGTCCTTAAGGGGAAAGAGTAGCACTAGGTTCGCAGCAAACTTGTTGTTGGGAAGCCTTCGACGGGGGATACTCTGGTGTTGAATTATATGTCTTCAGGATCATCAGGGTTCTCGAATAGAAAGTTGGCAGCGAGCTCTTCGTTCTTGTCACATGCAAAGTAAGCCTGTATGACCAAATCTCGGGAAAATCCCAGGCGGCATAGCTAAGCTGGATTAGTCTTTTATCCTGTATGATAAACAAGCATCAAAGAGGCATTAGGCAAACATACGCGTTCGATAGCATCTCTTTCTTCCTCGGTGACATGGATCTGATGTGTACCAGGAGGGAGCGCACCATCACCTTCTTCGCTCAAGAGCTGTAGAAATTGCTCCTCGTTCTGGCCGATGAGCTGGGCGATCTGAGGGTTACCGGCCGCGACTTGTTGAAGGATGGGTTCGAGCATTTGCGGTTGTTGCTGGACTAGCTGGCGAAGTTGCTGGAAATGTGGGTTATTCCGAAGGAAGTCAAGATTCGGGAGTCCTTCGCCGGCTGCACTTCCGGAGCGTGCCCCATGGGCGCCTTCCTGGGTACCCGCCTGAGCAGCAGCTTCAAACAGGTTGACTGGTTCTTCACCACCAGTTGTCGCAGAGGCGATCTCCCCAGCGGAAGCAACGGGGGGCTGAGGCGAATCAGATGTGACAGCGGTAGCCTGCTGCTGCTGTTGCTGCTGCTGTTGTTGTTGTTGCTGCTGTTCCTGTTGGATGTTGTCTGGGATTCCCTGTGGCTGTTATAAGCATCACCAGCTGAAATTTATCGCGCTTAGTTAGTGTTGATATGCAAAGCTCACATTCAGAAGATATTCGATAGCACGGTCAGGATTGAAGAAAGCAGCCCTCATAGCGCGGTTGATATCATCCCTTGGAAACCCCATACTCTCCATGTGAGAAATAACCGCCTCGCCCTGAGAGCCACTCAGCAACGCGGAGGGATCATTGAAAGCAGCATTGGATGGCTGTGTAGCCCCAGCAGGGGAAGGGGTCGCCGGTGGGGCTGGTGCGGAAGCGTTTGTAGATGGAGCCGGAGCAGGGGGCGCAGCTGGGGTCGAGGCGGCAGCTCTCGAAGGTGTCGAGGGGGGTTGCGAAGGAGTGGCTGTAGATGAGGAGGCCTTGGGCTACATAACGCGGTTAAATAGCTTGATATATACAAGGGAGCGCCATTGTATAATTTACCTTGGAGACCATGCATACTATGAAGCCCTTTTCTTCGATGTTGTACGATTCGATCGCCTTGTCATCTTGCAAAATCTTACCTGTAGGGTTGGGGGACGGTTAGCGACTTGTCATGTAGGAAAACTTGACCAAGTCACCATCTGTGACACCGACGCAGTGAAATCATAACGGATAAGTCATTATTGACGAACCGGAGTAGATCAGTTTCAGTTGGGGGACATCCCAGCCCTTCTCCTTAGAGATCTTTTCTTTCACTTGCCCAACCTAGCGGAGATTTCATTAGCCCCGCATTGACACAGACAAGATATCAGCACCTAGGGCGAATAACCTACCGTCTCTGAGGGCTCTGCATCAATTACAAACTTCTGCTGTTTCAAGTCCTGGAGTAGAGGAGAAATGGTTGTCAGCTCCAGTCACCAAAGAACAGGCGGGGTGTTGGAGATGCCTACTTTAAATGTAAGCTTCATCTTGCGCCACCAGAGGACTGAAGATGGCTAGAAAACTTGAATAGTAAGAGGCACAGAAAGATGAGAATACGGTGATAAATACGCTTCCCGGTCCTTTAAGGTAAAAAAAGGAGATATGGGGATTCGAATGAGAGGATTAGAGAACTGAAGAATTGCTAGAAAGAACAATGATGATGACAATCCATGACGATTGGGGGGGGGGAAGGGCAGTTGGCCTGGAGGCGGTCACGGCATCTCAGTCAAGCCACACCTTCACAGCCACACTTTCTTGTTCGGGTAGTAGTGGGCAGATAACTAGGTACCTAGGTGACGTACTATGTCAACATGGGTAGCGAAAGGCTTTGTACTTTCATGATCTTAAATGCTATCAAAAAGGTAAAATACTCCAGAATATCCTACTCAATTTGGGGGCTAACACTCTGACAGATAAAGATGTTTGAGTATGCTGCTAGCGGCCAGGCCACCAGTATCTTAACTTACTATAATTACTATACAAGTGGAACGAAGTATGGAGTAGAGCAGAGATTAAGAAAAACAAGAAAGGGCTAGCTTAAACCACACACAACAGAAGTTAAAAAAAAAAAAAAAAAAAAAAAAAAAAAAAAAAAAA